AAGCTATTGTATATTTCCTGAAGTCTGAACTAAGAAGTTAGTTAAACCACATGGAACAGATTAAAATGAAAAAAATCACACAAAGTATAAAAGCTTTTGAAAAATCATAACCTGGCCATAACTGCCTCTTCCAGAAGAACTGGATATTTTTCAAGAGTTGTAACTCACTTTATCAAGTTCATAGAACTCAACTCGTTCTTCCTGGCTGCAGCTTCTTCCAATGGGGGACACATTTAACATCCCGTTTCGGAACTCAATAAAAGTGCCCCTGAAAAAAAAAAACTGATTGAGACAGAAAATAGTTGAATTCAAAATACTGAATATCACAAAGAACTTTCGTTTAATTCTGAAGACAATGGGAATCAGATGCCTCCTTCAGCCTCTCATTGCATGCATAAAAACCAACAGGCAGGAACCAAAACCTCTGGCATCAAGAGTCTTTTGGACTTTTATTTGAATCTGGCAACCTCAACATCATCCTTACTGACTTTTTAAAGTATGATTTTGTTTCAAAAGTACGACTGGAGCATCTTGTCAACCCAATTCTCAGACCCTGACAGGCCAGTCTGTCAGCTTTGGGGTGAAACGGCAATTCTTAGAGCAATCTTGACAGTGTTTCTAGCTAGCCTCACATATGGTATGTATCGGTGTCTTGAGCAGCTGCGCCCTCACGTCACATAGAACTGATCTTACTGCATGCTTCTGATCTCTGGAAAACATTATGCTGCTGAATTCCAAACATGTCAAGGAAACACTCCCGCTTCCAAACTGAACTTCCTTCCCTCTTAAATAAAAATGCTCAATCAGTATTTCAAATCCTGTGCTCCATTTGGGAGCTTGTCTTTGTTGTATGCATGGATTGAGCTCTGTTTCATGTATACAGTGTTCCTAAAACACAAATTATTCATTTTTTGCTGAGCAGCCTGCTTTACATATTGATGCTCAACACGGTAACACGGAGAATGTGGTGACACCGAGATGCGTGTACGCACCTACCTTTTCTTTGGCAGTTTAATCTTCGCAATATAACTCAGGCAGTAATTGATTAGATCTTGAAGTATGTCCTCACCCAGGTGACCCTGAATGCTCTAACAAAATAAATACCATTCAACCAAGGGTCCAGAATTTGAGATTCCAAAAACAAGTCACATGGAAAACACAGACATTGGATAATCAGGCATGGTTAGTACCACAAAGAAACATGCCTTCAACAACTAACTCTCAGCTGATGCACATGCGGTACTAATGAAAGGCTCTCTTTTTTTTTCTGTTTACTTTGGTTTTTTTAAACCGTAACACCAAACTCTCATTTAATACGCTCCCTACTAGTACTTGCTTCAGAAGGAAACAGTGTGGGCCAAAGACAGCAGACCTAAACAAAAAGCTGCAGTTAACGTCTACTGTAGCCAAGCGTGAAGAAATGGAGATCGTTACTGCAGTAAACTGGAAACCACTGCTCAAGTCAGCAATTTCAGCCAGGACCTCTTTGAATTTTTTTATCCCCATTACTTATGTTGAACTGATGAAGGTGATTAGGGTATCTAGAATCAGATGTACGTTTATATTAATTTAGAGTATTTACCTTCTAGCTTATGCAACGTATCAGAATGCGCACTCTGAATTAATACTACAAAGCAGCTACAAGAGGTCTACAAGAAGCTTTCTGAACCCTAAGGCCCAACAGACATCAGCTATGAAATGCCGTGTTCCATAGGACCTCCAGGAGCAGAGGGCTTGGCCACATTTCCTGTGGATAAGCTGAGGGAAAGGCTCTTCCAGGATTTTCACTGTTCTTATTCGATCAGATGCTCCGGACTCCAATAGCTTTTGGTTTTGAGAATACCCCAAAGAATAAAGCTTAAGGTGCAGATTGTCATTACATGAATCAGAGCGCCAAGTGAATGACCTGTTATAGAAGTAACACATGAAAATAGCAGCGATTTTGGCCTTAGTTAGAAGGGTGATTATAGACGACCACACTGTAGCAACAAAGCAAAATCTTGTTTAGAAAATTTCTCTTTCACATTACTGGAAATTTCACACTTACCTGCTTGCTCAAGAATTTCCCATCTTTGTATGCTACAAGACCATTTTCTGGAAAAACGTAGTCAAATTTTTCAACCACTACAACCAAACAAAAAGGCAATACCTTGTAATTTCCCCTGTATGTTTAATGCAGAATTCCCTTACGCAGCAAATAGGTTAAAATACAGCAAACATTAGATCATAAAGCATGAAAGATTCAGCAGCATAACATCGAGCACAAGACCAAAACCACTCTCATTTCCCTCCAAGATTAACACACACCTCAAATCACATGAAGTCTTTCAGTTAAGTTACCTGTATTTTTGCTTAAAGGCTCTTCCTCTCCTGCAAGTACGTCTCTCTGCATTAAACGTAAGGAAGTGACTGAACACCTCCAATAGTACAAAAACCTGGCACACAGCCTGGCTAGAGAGCCGGTCAAATGCTGCTATTTTAGGTTTGTTTTCTCAACATTACTAGTCGACGGGAGATGTCCAAGAGCTGTGAGAATCTTACTAAAATGCAAGATGATACGGCTTACTGGAGACCACTTGTAAGCCAAACAAATTCTGAGTTATTTGGGCATTACAGAAGGCTATCAGTGGCATCAATTAAGTAAAGAGCGTTAAAGATGGTCTTTCATACAGAAAAGGAAATGCCTCTCAAAGGACTAAAGCGAGAGTCCATCTCTGCATCATAATCCAATCCCACAGTTAGCAAAATCAGATCCTTCAGGGATGGACATCTGAGCAGCCTGCACACGTGTATCTTAGGTACATAATTCCATTTTAAAATGACAATGTTAAACTGCCCTCCTAAGGCACTGTCACAAAGTCAGGATTTCGCTACTCGTAACTATCCCTCAATGAGACACCGAGATACCCGTAAAATCCAAGCACAGGTTGCAGTTGCCTGTGAAGAGCTTTTCACAGATTAAGTGCAACACAACAGAAACGGGAAAAAAGTTTAAAGCAAGGAAGGAGGAAAATGAAAGGGGTTTAACCTACATTTAACCTTCACAACTTCCTTGTAAGCAATTCAGTGTAAGGGATTGCATCAGCCACTATCCTTACCGTCATCGCCAAGCTGCTCCTTAATCTTTCCAAAATCTGAACCACCCACGACTCCAACTTTCACCTTCTGACGCAACCTCTGCAGGAACGCGGCCATCTCTGCTGTGATTTTCTAGGTTCCAAAATAAAAGAATTAGATTTGTCGGTATTCTTACCACGAGACCAGCATCTCTATTTCCCAATAATTATTAAGGACCAGCAGTACCGTGCAGAGCTTTAAGAAAAACGGAGGGTTTTTTTTTTTTTTTTGCCTTAAACGGCAAATCAAGTTCGCCCATCAAGTATCGCGGCAACCGTGATGTGCTTGTACACTCTGTCCCCTCAGGGCTAACGGCCCTTAACTAAAAGCCCGTGCCCGCCCAGCGCCGAAGCGCCCTCCGTGCCAACAACCCCCTCCGGGCTGGGAGCCCGGGAGCCCTGCCCCGGCGCCTCAGACAGCCCCTCGCCAGGGCACGGCGCC